ATTTCACACACACAAGTTCTGAGATAGGAAGTGTGTACTCTACCTTGCGTTGCGGTACACTCCGCGGTTCGATTTCCAGCGAGGGCATTTATTTGTCCCTCGTAAACAAAATTGGGCGCGCGAGAAATACTCGGCTTTTTTCAGAAATTGACAAATTTTGATGCACTGTGGGAAACCTTGATGCTCCATCACCCCCAGCGCTAGTCGTATCAAGACGTTTTCACGCCGTTTCGAGATACCCTTGATCACAGCCGAGTGAAAGACTTCATCACGACGTACTCAAATGTCTCCTTCTGTTCCTTTAGGATGGTTTTTGGCGTCTTTTTACCCTTACAGCTAACCTCTTTGATCAGCTGTGATTATCTACTCTATTAAAATGGCTTACGATGGTGTATGGTTCTCCATGGAAGAGGCTGAGAGGATCTTCAACATCTTCCTCTTCAAGATATTCCGACGAAAGGGCAAGAAGCCGTCCCCTACCTACGATTTCATCGCCGATTTCATCACCAAGGAGGTGCTCGGTTGGTTGATCACTTTCCCCTACGAGTTACTTGCCAAATACGTGGCTCGAGGTGTGTATCATATCAATGGTGTGGCATCTGCTAGTGTGGTTGGAGTAAGCATTGTCAATGTTATAATTTCGTACCGTAATTCTGTCAGTTATTGGCCGGTTTGACTCTACCATCACCGTACAGGGAGTTCGCTTATGGGGGTGGTTTCACATCGTGTTCAACCAATGCAGTAAGCATTTCTCTCGACGCTACTTCTTCTTATCACTGTTACCTTCAGGCATTCACCGTTCAATGGGAAGCCTGGATTTGCTTCGTCTTCATTACTGTTAATAACGCCTTTCGACCGATCCTCAATGGCTTAGGTGGCAAATTGGGTAAGCAGTTTTATGCAACTTTTCCATTGTCAATTAATTTGCCTCTTCCCCCCCCCCAGGTATGACAGTGTATGTTGCCGGTCATATCAGTGCCCTGTTCATCGTCGCCTTCCAAGGAGGTACTTTCGAGACGACCTGCCTGGACCCCACTGCTCGATTCGGCACATGGTGAGTATCAACATCTACCCCAATCTTGCTATTATCGTCATTCTACTCTAGGGTGGATTTCTGGTTCTACCGTTACAACAATGGAAGTGTTGTCACCAACGTTTTTGTTGACATCTCATACGTCTTGGCCTGTGCTCTTGCTGGGGTGAGCTCGGTGATACCATTATCTGTTATCGTTATTTATTTTTTCTTAGTGCATCACGTTATGGTTACACGTTCATTTTGATACCAACTCTAACCCCGTGGTTGCCTCGTCCATCGTGTCGTTGGCGGCTGGTCTCTATCTTCCCCCCTCGACGAATCCTCTTAATTTCTTCATCTGGACAGGATCATTCGTTGGTAATTTACATACCACTCCTCGGCTTCATCATACGCTTGTTGTTCGGCAGGTATGAGTGCTCCAGCGGCAAAGCCCGGTGCGTACGCTTTGATACACTTTGACGATAAACCCCAGGTGTATTCTGATATGGTATCACTATTCATCACTGGTGTTATTGCTGGACTTGTCCAAATAGCAATTTGGTGGACATCCCCCGGTATCGGTGGCAAGTTTGGATTCATAGCCCATTGCTCTTGTGAGTGACTTTTGTCGTTTTTTTCGCAATTTTGGGACCATCATTTTTCTTAGGTCTGCCAATGCATCTATTCACCAAGTGGCGTAATGAGAGGCGCGAGCGTAAGGCCGCGTTGGAGGACAATGGCCTTCCTGGGAAGAAGGGGAAGAAGGGCAGTTTCAGTGATGATGATGGTATGTACGAGATGAAAAAGAAGGGAGTTCTCTCGGAAGATGCCATAACGTCCGAGGATGGATTCAAGAACGGTGATGAGCCCGACCCTGAAAGTGAGGACGGTTCGTCAATGTCATCGTCATCGTTCTCTGCGGAGCGTGAGGACCTTGCTGCTGGTGTGTTTGGTACTCCGACGGAGATGCACACTGTTGAGGAACCTGAAGAGGAAGGGGATGGTGTGGTGGTACAAACGTTGGAAAGGCCGCCCCGAGGTAGCGGTGACCGAGATGATGATGGAAGAGCTGATTCGCTAAAAATGAGAACGACTTCTCAAGTGCAGGCATATCTTTAAAACTACTACTACTACTACATCATCATCATCTTAATCGACCTGTTATATGGTAGAGCCATGGCTCCTGTAAGTGTTGATGACGATGAGATGAAGGTGTACGGTTTGCGTGTATGATCTAGAGGATTATCTTTCCACTATTATTACTACATAGTATTCTATTTAGCAACTGTCCTCTTCCACGTCATCCTAACAACATATCCATCACTATTACACGATCTTGTATGCTACTCTCATTGCCGTTCGGATTTACAATTTCGCAGTGAGTAATTACTACTACAGTTCCTTGACGTCTTGGTGTGTTTGACTTGTTATTCAATTGATCGTGGGAATTCGAAGTTGAAATTTTCCCCGTAGGTATTATCTGCTATGTCGTTATCGACTGACCATCTCCAACAAGGATTAAGCGATGTAGACGAGTAATAGCGTTGATATGAAAAGCTGTTGAAACTAGATTGGATACTGTCAGAATTGTCTTCATTTTCTGCTTAATCAATTTTGTCCTGATTTTCTGTTTTTCTGCACTTTTCCCTTCCTTTTTACTGAGATTGTTGTAGCTTTCTGAACTGAGTTGCGATGGTTTCACTTTCCTATTGGTTGTAAAAACACTATGAAAAGAATATATTATGAATGCGTTATGTTATTACATAGTTCGATACTAATACTAAACGCCTATATTGTTAGTTGTAGGCAGTATTGGCTTCCCGATAGGTCCAGTAGTAGTGGCACCAACTCTCCGTATGAAAAGCTGAGAGATCTCAGTGTGAGAATATGGTAAGTTTGCAATCGATTAGAAACATCTTACTTTAGGCTGAGCACGGGGTGTGTCCACATTTACTACGAGAACGGTTATTGCAGCTCCAAGAGAATCTTCGACAGAAGAAGGCTGATCGTCGGAAAAAAGTAATAATAATTTTGTGGCGCGCGACATTTTCCTTGTGTGTGATTTAGCACTTATATGCAGTCCTTTATAGAATGCTAATTGCAGTTGCTCTTGTTGTGGTCGCGATAGCGGTGGTTTATCTGCTATTAGTAATATCCAATCTTGTGTACTTCCATGGAGGTGTTACATGATGTTAGAAGGCTTCACCGAGTAGTATGATGACGATTCTTGCTGGTATCGTCGCACT